AAACGTAATAGGTAGAAAAAATATATGTATTCTTTGCGCGATAAATCATGCGTTTGATCGATTTTTTCCATCGATCTTTCAACTAGCGGAATATATATTACGTTATACAAAGTACATTGTGGAAGTTACGTAAAGAGTATCGTTGAAGGGAACATTTTTGTCGCCAATTACGCGGTAACTGTGAAAATTGTAGTCACACGGTAAACGTCCCTAAGTCCAATTGCAACCATCGATCAGTATTCTCAAACAATGCGTTTCCTACATTCAAGAAAATATTCGGTTTAACGACTACCACTTTGGACAGTTTAAGTTATTTTGTTTCGAATCTTTTGTTTCGTTAGAATCATCATTCTTGCGACTGGTAAGAATTTAAATTTCGTTCGCGTCTTTCTTTTTTTTTTCTTCTCATTCTTATTCCGAATTCGAAGAATATTTGTCTTATTGAACGGAAGAAATCTTTCGTACTGGAGTAAAACTGGAGTTTTTTTTTTCTTTTACGTATCATCGCAACATTACTTTTTTTATCATTCTATAAATTCGTTTTTTGCGTTTCGATTCGCTTTCGTAAATAAGAAAGAAGCGTCGCAGAAGTGGATGTCGATTTCGAAGTAAATTATAAAAATTTCGATATTTCGAGATTAAGCAGGTAAATCTTTTATATTTTCCATAGAACAGTTATACGAGTATATTCTAATAATTACATCATTTGATATTCTTTCAGGGTATTCGCTGATTCGAAGGAAGAGAATAAATTTGAAAGAAAAATGAAAAAATAATCGCATTGCCTATCGATAAAATGGTTAGTTGTTGCCACTTAAAATCGTATCGGATATCTAACAGAGTCGTCATCGAGGGAGAAGAAGGTGACTTTTGAAGGTCGCGAAATCAGAGTCTAAAGAGTTATCACGCGATAATGTCGTAGTCTGCTTGACCGTCCATAATCTGTTTTTAGTGCAGTGGTAGTAAGAATCGCGACAACAATCCGCGAATCGGTCGTTCTATTGTATAATTATTAAGAATTGTCTTTCAAACAAAGCAGCATCGTAATTATCAAATAATAGAGACAATGTTTGAAACGGAAGGAAGAAATTTATGAAACTGGAACGAAAATTTGCATCATTATTTTATTAGAGATTTTTCGTTGTTGTTCCTGACACTCATTCTTATCCCATTTCAAACACGATCAGTTAAAGAATGTCGAAGAAGCAATGGTTGGTCCTGTTGATGCTGTTCTTGACATACTTGTTACTAGGTGCTTCCATTTTCTACCATATCGAGAGCCGCTTAGAGATCGACCGCATTGAAAAAGACAAACATGAACGCATCAAAATTAACGGTGAGCATAATGGATCGTGATAATTAAACAACAAACAACATCCATAATCTGAAATTTGTAAAATGCAATCCAAAAAAATGTTCGATTCGATATATGTACGCATGTATTCGATATACACATATAGCGATCTACGGACGAATCACCATTCAAATATAGTAAAATCGATGCGAATACCAATAAATATACATATAATCTATGATCTATTATAACTCTTTCACCTAATGTTTACTTAAATAAGTATAAAAAAAGATTTCAGATTTATTTTTCTCTCTCTCTCTTTCTCTCTCTCTCTCTCTCTCTCTACATTAAACAACAATGAACAATCGTGATAGAGAATAAATTCATTGAATCGGTTTTTTCGATATCAAGTTACGAAACGAATTGTATGCGAAATTATGTAGACTAAGACCACTCCCTGTTAAATTGTTTAGCAAATTTATCGGTTCCTCTCATAAACATTGATTACTTCGTAAACATTTCTAAACTATTATTTCAATATTGAGAATTGTCACAAGATCAATTATTTTTTTGCACTTCATCAACTCGGTATCACCAAACGCTATTATTAGTATTAATCGTTGAAATTGATAGTATTTTTTAATTAAGGTAGTATAATTACGATACATATGTACACATGTGCGATGATCGAATAGATTTTTACCTTCGTTGTAAAGAAAGAATGACAAAGATCAAAGTAAAATCTTTGATCGAACGTATAATACGATATATATTTTATCGAATGTTATCGAAAATACATGTTCCATCGAATTGAAATAGAGAAATTGCACGAAATATTATATTAAAATACTAAATATATTATATGATATTATATTTGAATCGAATTTGAAGAATTAATCAAGATCTTTACCTTCGCGCCAACTTTTTATCCGATATATTCTTTGTTGAACAGTATCGACGTGACTTGTTTCCACGGTGCGACTAGTTCGAAGCGAACGGAGAGCATAAACGATAAACGAATAAACCGAAACGATAAGATAACATTTTCCCGGGAATAATATATAGTTTGAATTTGAACGAAGAGTATTATGCAGACTTCCGAAAGAGCTCGTTCTCGAAGGAGAATTCAATCTTATATATACATACATATATATATATATATTCGAAAGATTCGTTGTCTTTTAAGTACGAATCGTGATCCGAAAATAAAATTCATTATACAAAATTCTAACAAAATTCTTGTGATAAATTCACAATTTTTAACCGCGTTACAAATTATCTTAATTAATTTTCATATCTCGACGTTGTTTTTTTCAGCTTTGCTACACACGCATTACGTACCGAATCTTAGTCACGATCACGATGAAATTCTCGAGAATTTGACACGATACTGCGGAAAATCAGTTTATAATTATACCGAAGGCGATTATCCCCTTAAATGGGATTTTTATAATAGTTTTTATTTCGCTTATACCGTCGTCAGCACAATAGGTACGTACGTACTAATAAATTTTTAAAATATCGGTTAATCTAATTATTACGCTTTCATACGATTTATGATTTATATCACGTATGACTTGTAACAAAAAATTTATAATTTTCATTGTATAATTTTAATCGTGTATCGAATATAACACACGATATAATACATGTAGGTTACGGGAATTTGGCTCCAACGAACAGGCTCAGTCGCATCCTGATGATATTTTATGGTCTGATAGGCATACCTATGAATGGAATTTTGTTGACACAATTGGGAGAATTTTTTGGCCGTGTATTCGTTAAAGCTCACGAAAAATATAAATCTTATAAGCATGGCCGTGACAATTATTATCCTAGAAAATTAACAACGTTCGAAACGGGAAAAGCTGGATTGGCTGCACAAATATTTGCTCACTTGTTGCCAGGTTTCGTCATGTTCATCTTTTTCCCAGCATTTCTTTTCTCTCATTACGAGGGTTGGAGTTACGAAGAAGCTGTTTATTACGCTTTCGTCACATTGACCACCATTGGTTTTGGAGATTACGTGGCAGGTGAGAAAACATTCTTTTATCCTATGTGATCTATCAGAGAGAAAGAGAAAGAGAAATGATCATTTTTTTTTATATTATTATTTGCATCGAATGTACATATATTCGATAGGACAGGACAATAGCAAGGGTAGCGGATTTTTCTTTATATTATACAAGATCTTTCTGATTTGTTGGATTTCCTTTGGACTGGGATACACCGTCATGATCATGACATTTATCACGCGAGGTATGCGAAGTAAGAAGATTACTAGAATAGAGCGTAAATTAGCTATCAATTTGAAGCACACGCAAAGTAAAATATGGAATGAATTCAATAAGGAAATAAATTATTTACGCCGTGTTTTCAACGAGTTGCAATTATCTAAAGTTAAGGTAAAACAAATTCTCCTATTCTTTATTTTGCTTCTCGATTCGTTCCTATATAATGCATCCTTGTTACACGCATGTGTACGTATAAATACAATTTATCAATTTAATATTCACGTTTTTTCAATAATCGATTTTCAGAGAATATACGTTGACGAATGTAATTACGAGATTCCACCGTCTAAATTTTGTCGTAGCAACAGTTTTCCCGATCTTCGAGATTTGTTGTACGCCTCAAAAGAGAAAAATGAAATGTATCAGAGACCTCGACGACGCGCCAATAGCGAAGTGGTTCCAACGGTAAGTTGATCGATTCGGCTGTGGTACGATATGAATTTTTTCACATTGAAATTTTGAAGCTAAGACCCCGAGTATACAATTTTAATTACAAATATTTATTACTTTTCGAGATATCGATGAAAATCTTTCTCGTTGTTATACGTATACATCCGTGATTATGTACGCGTCAATATACGATCGCCGTTTATCTATTCTTTTTACAAATACATTGTAGTGACTACTCAACCGAGATTGATATCTCAACTCTATCATCTTTGATTATCGTAATTTCAATCGCTCAATAATCGTTTTACATTTTATTTTTGCATTCCGCGAATTCCAATTGTTCCACGGATCGACATACGTGGATTTTGAATGCACAATTTAGTTTATAGATAAGCGGCGATCGTATATCGATTCGTGTCACATGTAAGATAATATTCAATACAAATATAATAGCGAAAGATTTTTATCAATATTATCGAAATTGTTTTATATTCTCATTATCTCAAAATTTCAGTATTTTATTAGTCAATTCTTCATATTTTCTTTACTCGTTCCTTTCTTCTTTCTTCAAATTTAAATAAATAATTTTAAATAATTATTAATAAATTAAATATATATATATTAATATTATTTTTTTTTTTAATCATTCGATAGGAAAATCAAGTAACGCGCGTCGTTTCTGAAACCGATCTTCAAAGAATCGATAAAACAGCAACATTCGCAACTCATGCAATGGTTCAACCAGCAGAATTGTTGGCAAGATTGGTGAATATTCTTGGTTATATACCACCAGCTACCGAAGATATGGGTGCCGATGGTTCAAATCAGACAACTTACGTTGGCCAGGAACAAGTCGGATATCACAGTGACAAACTCGAAGAAAATAAAGAGATTTTTGAAAGAGAATCGACTCACGCGTCCAATACCGGATCTAGAATCTGGACAATCGGGCACGAAAAGATACCGCGATTCGTAAGACCTCGTTCGAGAGCAGCAAGCGAGATTAGAATACAAGAAACGAAAAACGAGGATCGAAACATCGAACGAACTTGGTCCGGACCAACAGCGGCTAGAAGGATTCAGGAATTGATGAAATCCCGTGTAAATGAATCATCGGGCAAAGAACGTGACATTAAAGATACCAAATTTTCTAAACTTCGCAATTTTGCATTAACAAAAAACGTTCCTAAAGCATTGATCTCGTCCAGCCCTTGGAAAAATCGTTTCTCGATAAGTTCGGAAAAAAAAATCTCCGAATTCGATCGCAATATTAACGGTAAAGACTTGGCCGGACAAGGATCTTTGTCGATCGATGATAGACGAGAGTCGATCCCAACCAATTTAAATCCACAAAGATATTATTACACGCATACCGGTGCGGCTAACAATTTTAATAACAATGTTAATAATAATCTACTCGAAGAGACCAGTTTGGCCGATTTTTTGAGAGCCCTTACCGTTCTTCACGCTAGCGTTGCTGTCAACAACGGTAATTGGACCTCTGCTACGAACGAAGATCAGATTCGTCGTGATCAACCTCGAAGAAAATTGGGCACCGCTTCTTTAACACCGCCAAAACTTCCTAGCTTGTTTACCTTATTTTCACCATCTCCACCCGTATCAACCACTCAAAGCAATCAAAACACTATTACGCAAGAATCTAATATAAACTGGAACGAAGATAAACTACCTTGGTTTCAAACAACAACAAGACGAGAATCGAGAAGAGGTAGTTTAGCGTTTGCTCATCCTACCATGGCTGCCAAATCGAGACGATTTTCTTTGAGACCTGTAGCAACACCTGTCAGTCCACCGACGCCTCCGAAAAATGACTCACCATTCTTATCGGTCAGTTCATTTCGAGAGAGGGAGAGAGAGAGAGAAAAACGATTTATCGTTTACTTTTTAAAAACGGTCTTTTATTTTATTTTTTTTTTTATTTTCAGAAAACTAAATCAACGTTTTTGTTCGAATCCCCTAAAGAGCCTCTTATTCTAACAGAGAGAACACCAGGTTTTTCAACGCCGATAAAATCAACCTTGAGCGATCGTCGTTTCTCGTTACGACCAGCTCAAAATCCGAACGTTAATTTAAAAGGAGGTAATACTTCTATCGTTTCTACGCAAAAAGTTGCACCTCGTTGGAAGGCTGGTATATTGCAACGACAAATCGGTCAAATGAATCTTCGACGTCGAGCCAGAGCGTTCAGTTTGAGCGACGTTCACATCGAAGATCACGGAGAAAGAGCCGAACCTTTTCATTTATCATCTAATATTATTTACAAAAAAAATAATCACGATACAATTTATAAAAATCCTAAAACCGGTGAATTTGCATCATCGATCGAAAATTCGGGTCAATTTGCATCTTTGGTTTCCAATTCGGAACGATATTCACCGCTTTCACAAGAAATTATTTCTACGAATTCTGTTCGCCTCGAGGAAAAGAACGTACGAATCATCGATCCACAATCACATTCCATCGTACACACAATTCCTATCGAGAATGTCGATGATCGTTCGAACGAATCTACATCTAATTCTCGTTTAATCGATCGAATAGAATCAACTTTGTGTAAAGATTCTCGAATAAGTACAAAAAAACAAGTATCATCGAATGATTCTTTCACTAATAATTCTACTTCTCAATATAATTTATTTACTAATATCGACGTAAAATCACCAGAAGAACCATTGGTGGAAGTAAAAATAGAAAATCCCAGTACAAATATCGTTTCCGATCCGTTGAAAACAGTTACACCCGATGTTTCTTCGCATCATTCGTTAGATTCTCTTGCAGAGTTCAAAACCGAGAAGCACAAATCACACTTGCCTATCGATAAATCGTGACACAGACTTTTCGTTCATTTCGTTCAAAACGGATTTATTAATCGGACAATAATCGAACAATCGCAAATCGTGTTCATTTTCGATATAATTAATTCTGCGATTCTCTTTCATCATTCTTTCAAGTGAAAAAATTTCGAACAACATACGAGATACGTTATAGGGATACGATGACGATACAAAATTACTTATTTACGTTATACAAAAATTTTTAACCGCGCGTGATTGTTGACCGGCATATCACTTTTATAAAAATAAATAATAATATATATATATAAATTAATATAACTATAATTTAAGTTGAATTGAGGAAAAAAAAAAAATATAAAATAAGTAATAAGATCGAGTACTCTTTCTTCGTTAAATTATCGACGTAAGTAAAAATTTCACAAGAAACGTTTCCTTTTTCGCTTTTGTTTTTTTTTTTTTTTTTGTTTCATCT